GAAAAAGTGTTGAGACTGAGCCCAAAGTTATCATCAGGTAAAAAGTCACATTATTATCCTCATCATCCTTTGTTGCACTTTTAACATCAGCAGCAGCAAAAGCCTCTCTGGGCTCCACAAGTTTAACAACCACAGTAGCTGTTGCTGACAGGGAAACGTTGCCATTGTCTTTCACCAGTATGAGCAGTTTATGCTCAGCCTCGTCTGTCTCTGTGAATGAGCGAAGTGTTCTGATCTGTCCTGTATAGCGGTCCAAACCAAAGAGACTGTGGGCAGTAACTTCCTGCAGTGAGAACAGTAACCAGCCGTTATATCCTATATCAGCGTCATAGGCTCTGACTTTAGTCACCAAGTGTCCTGCGTTCACATTGCGGGGAATCTCCTCCACACCTTCAGCAGAACCGTTAGAGCTGACCGGATACAGGATGACTGGAGCGTTGTCGTTCTGATCCAGAATGAACACGTGCACTGTGACGTTGCTGCTTAGTGACGGAGTTCCAGAATCTGTGGCGACAACTTGGAACTGGAACGTTTTCAGAGTCTCAAAGTCAAAGCTTTTTGTTGCCGAAATTGTGCCATTGGCTTGATTTATATTTAAAAATGCAGTCACAGTGGGCCCTGCGCTGTTACGGTTGAGTGAAAATGTGACTTCTGCATTTTCGCCTCCATCGGCATCTGTTGCGATAACTGAAAAAATCGACATTCCAACTTTGTTGTTTTCAGGCACATAAAAAGTGTATGGGCTTCCAATGAAGAAAGGACTATTGTCATTAATATCTAGGACGTCTACGTGTATCACCTTTGTAGATGACAGGGCGGGGCTCCCTAAATCCTTAGCTGTTATCGTTATAGAATACATATGCATGGTTTCCTTATCTAGGTAGTCCTTGGTGACCAAAGAGTATGACTGTCCGTCAGGAGAAGGCTTTAAATCAAATGGTAAATGGCCGGGCACACTGCAGACCACCTGTCCGTTCACACCTGAGTCGAGGTCCGTCACACCCATCAGCGCCACCACCGTGCCAGGAGGTGCATCCTCTGGAATTTTACTAGAAAGGGATGTGATCTCTATTTCGGGTTGATTATCGTTTACATCTTCCACTCTGACAACCACGTTGCACTGTGTGGAAAGAGACACGGCACCTTTGTCTGCAGCCAGTACCTTTATCTCATATACTTGCCTTTCCTCATAATCAAGGCCACCTTTCACCGTTAATTTGCCAGTTTTTCTATTCAAATCAAACGGTTCAGAGGATGCTCCTCTATGTTTACTTCGTAAAGAGTATTCGACCTCACCGTTCATCCCCTCGTCCGAGTCAGATGCATTTACTGTCAGCAGAAATGTTCCTGCAGGTGCGTTTTCCTTTATTGTTACAGTGTATTTCTGTTTATCACACACTGGCGGGTTGTCATTTATGTCTGACACATTAACAGTGATATTAATAGTACCAGATTTAGATGGTTTACCTCCATCATTAGCTGTTAATTGTAACCAGAGTTGAGCGGCGTGTTCTCTATCCAAGGGTCGCTGTAAGATTAGGAACGGAACTTTTCCATCCTCTCCAAATTCCTCTGTTTCCAGGCGAAAATACTGTTCATTGTTAAGCTTATATGTTTGTAAGGAATTTAAACCAACATCCAAGTCGTGTGCTCCCTCCATTTGAAATCTAGATCCAACTATGGCGGACTCGAGCACCTCTAATGTGTAGTTTTCTTCAGGAAATGTGGGTGAATTGTCGTTTACATCGAATATTTCAACTGTTATCTGGTGCATCTCGAGTGGATTTTCTACGATTGCTTTCAGATTCGCGATGCATGGAGCAGTTTTTGCACAAAGCTGCTCCCTGTCTATTATTTGGTTCAGCAACAAAACTCCATCCCTTGGATTTACCTTAAACAGATCCTGCTTTGTTCCAGACACGACCCGAAGATTCCTATCCGTCAGTCTTCTGAGATCTAATCCAAGGTCTTTGGCCACATGTCCAACCACGGTGCCTATTCTTAATTCTTCCTGGATGGAATAACGTATCTGAGCAGAGATTCCTCCCAAATAAGTCACAAGCAGCAGCGACAAACAAAAAGATATCCACATATCCAGCCATTGTCCTCTCATTTGCGTTATCGCCATTTTCGGAAAAAGCCTTTTTTATAACGATCTGTGTTCTCTTCTGTTAACACAATTATTATGACATGGTTTTCAGTTTTCTCTCACGGATATTAAACAAAAACAGTCTACGGTAACCATCATTACAAGAGAAAAATAAAAGATGTTTTACCCGCCGTTCAACCGTCTCTTCGGGTTCATACTGAATGCACATTTAAAAAACAGCACCTCTCACACGCAGCCACTGTCGTGATTTATAGTGTAACAGCACCACCCGTTGTCACCTTAACGATTGTGCCGCTTGCAGTTATACATTTTCTTCCAGTTTAGCCTGTGTGTGCTTATCGTTAAGGTGACAACGGGTGGTGCTGTTACACTATAAATCACGACAGTNTTTTATACTATACGTGTGGAGGAGAATAACGCTCCTGGAGCCCTGCTCAGTTCCCCAACTGCGTTTGACCCTGACCTCCATGAAAACCAGTATCTAGTTTATTTCATCCTAGAGAGGGAGATAGCCAACACCTCCATGTCCATGCTGTTCTCCATCAACCCAGAGAACGGGAATCTTTACGCACTAAAAACGTTTGACTACGAGATCGAGAAGGAGTTTCTCTTCCACATCGAGGCCAGAGACTCTGGCTCTCCTCCTCTCAGCAGTAACGTGACGGTGCACATCATCATTGTGGACCAGAACGACAACGCTCCGGTTATTGTCTCTCCGTGGCGCGCACACGGCTCGGTGGTGGAGGAAAAGATCCCCAGATCCACCGATAAAGGCTCTCTGGTTTCTAAAGTGATAGCCTTGGACACAGACTCGGTGCACAACTCCCGGATCACCTACCAGTTCCTGCAGGTGACTGACGCCACCTTGTTCAGTCTGGACCAATACAACGGAGAGATCCGGACCATGAGGATGTTCAGCTACAGAGACCCACGCCACCAGAGACTGGTTGTCGTTGCCAAGGACAACGGGCAGCCTGCCCTCTCTGCTACAGTCACCATCAAGCTGTCCACAGTGGAGACTGCCGTGAAGGCCTACTCTGACATGACCGAGGTGCCTCTAGAATATGACATATTCTCAGACCTCAACCTGTACCTGGTCATCGGTCTGGGCTCCGTGTCATTTCTCCTGCTGATCACCATACTGGTCACCATCGTGATCAAGTGTCAGAAACCCAAACCAAACAAAGCGGCTCCTCCCTGCAGGAACAGTGTGATCAGTGAGGGGAACTCCACCATCGCAGACTCCACTCTGGTCTCCAACGACGCCTACTGGTACAGTATGTTTCTAGCAGAGACCAGGAAAGGAAAGATGGTGGTCAGACAGCCTGTGCCAAAGGGCTCCAGATACATCGTGTCCAGTTTACCACGAGGCACTGGACTCACAGACACTAGTGGATCAGCAGCCTCCACCCTGCAGGTACAGATAACCGCTCACTTTAACATAACTAAATCCTTCAAATATTGGCCTTCCTTTAACAAAGGATATCTGTTTGCAGTATGGAACCACACATTATTGTGCTCTTCTTCTCTTGTAGTCTGTGTTTTGCAAGTCGTACTTTTTGGCTTGAGTTTTTCTTTGTGCGATAACTCTTCACACTTGCTCTTCATTTATTACTGTAACAACAAAGTTCCACAGCACTAAATCCCTCTGATATTCTGTATCTAAAACTGTAAATATTCTCTAAAGTTTCATTTTCATAATTTAACATGTCTACTAAAAATGGACCTAAAAAAGGTAATCTCCCAATGTCACCTACAACATTCCTCAAGGGGAAAAGCCTTAGCAATGCTGACCATGTTAAAAGACTCCACTGAAATAAAAAACAAATAAAACCTTAATAGCAACAAACCTGAAGAAACAATTGAACATGTCTGGGTACACCTCTGCTTTTTTAAATATCCTGCAGCTTTTTTGACTTAAAGTGTTTTTCATTTGTAATTGCTCCAGAGACATATCTGGTTGACTTGTACTTGTGGTGAATATACAGTATATCAGTGTAATGGTTTTGTAATCTCTATTTTATTCACTGCAAATGAAAATACAATCAATATAAATCAGAACTGAGATTTTATTCACAAAGAGCTTGTATAACACTTTACAAATGAGGATCTTGTGAGTAAGGCTTCTTTCAATTTATGAAAACACATGTTAAACACATGTTTTCTGTTGTTTAACAAATAATATCCAACATAATGCACAACACAGTTTTCTCTGTTTTGAACAATGACAGCTTTTTTGTGCTCAAACCATTTTCCCCACAGCATCAATGTAATTGTAACTATTCAGTGTTATACCCTATCCATCTACCCATCTATCTATCCATCTATCCATCTATCTATCTATCTATCTATCTATCTATCTATCTATCTATCTATCTATCTATCTATCTATCTATCTATCTATCTATCTATCTATCTATCTATCTATCTATCTATCATGGTAAGTATGCTGCTGTTATAGCTACATTTGAAACAGTTTAACCCACTTTTATAGAACGCATTGTAACAACTGCAGACTCGGTTATTAAGTGTCACACTAACCATTACTAACACTAACTAATCTGTGGCACTTTTCCAAACATGACTTAACATTCTTATTCATAGTTCTTTGATACCAACCCTGTCATCACAGGATACATACACACCAGTAATCATTTCTTGTGTTTGCAATGAACTGACCATTGAACTGCTTGTTTTTTTTTCTCCTCACTCTAAAGTACCCTAAATGAGGAAAGTCCACTCAGCAGCTGGAGGTATGCAGGAGTCTCACTCCCCACCCTGGATGCCCTTTAATGAATCATGTTACAGAACACATGGGTTTGATTGTTTTGTGAATGTGTTTATTTGTTTGTCCTCAGTAGTTCATGATTTTTTCTTCTTTAGTTTCTCTTGGAAAACATTTTTTTTAATTGCAAAGGAGCAAGTTGACATCACATGCTGCTTGTCAAATCTCTGGTGTTAACCTCTTTCTGCCAACAATATGGTTACTGATATTTATATTACAGCTTCATCACCAAAGCCGTCTATCATGTATCCATGCAATTTAAGTACACTCATAATAATCTATAATCTTAATGTATTTATAAAGAGTCTTACACTGAGACTGTGCTCAGTATTTCTGTCTTAGTTATTACTTTTGTGAACAGAGTAAGAGTCAACTAGTCAGTCGCACATTGATTTTTAATTCAAAATGACAACATCACCATGCTGCTCTGTCTGAAGATCATTGATCACGGTTCTAGAGAATCCATTACTTCAACTAGCAATAACACAATTTACTGGCTTTTGCTTTTTTCCCCACAATCTGGCTTCTGCTTAGAAAATATCAATGTCTTAAATTGGTCCTGTGCATGTGAAGAATAATGTGTATTCAACCCCTACTGACCCATCACTGATAGATTATTATATTATAATTCCTATTTGTCTTTATTGGTGGGATTGTGCTGTATAGCTGTATGATTTTGTTGGTAATACTATATTTTGAGTGTTACTGACTTCACAGAATGACACTTTAATTTTCTGTCTGCTGTAGCGTGAATTGTGACCTACTTCTTTATGCAGGAGAGGCGCAAAGTGAAACCAGTCACCCAGTTGCCTAGCAACAACTCTCCTTCACATAATTTTGGAGCATGGTAGTCATAGACCACCTCAACCTACACTCTGTCTCCTGCCTGAAGCCCCTGTCTGAGTGACAGACATCTGCTGCATGTGATGTTTCTGTTAGTGCTGTGTTTTGTTTTCAGATGTATCTAATTCTCTTTTCTTGTTTTCCAGGCATCCACCAGCAGCACATAAGGCCACACCCTCAGCTGCGTATTGGATTAACGCTGACAGGAAAGGAGAAAGCCCCAGTCTGTTATGACCCCCCACATCCATCCTGCCCACTCTTATCCTTGTTCCTCACAATATGTAGCCGTCATGCCATAACACCAAATGGACTATGGTGGCTAAAAGGAAACAGCCCTTCCCCTCTCTATTTTCAAGCACATGAAAAGCCTATCAACATTGGCTCTCTGTCCATTCAATACGCATTATTAAACTGCATGGCTTCAACCACACTCTGAGACCCCTCGTGCAAACAATTTTCATTTGGAAACACTTGCAAAGAAGTAGACTGTATGAAAGATTACAACTGTGGATATCTAAAGAAGCCTCAACAAGGACTGCGTGGACATGGGAATGTTTAAATGCCTTTATTAAGAGACTGTTTCCCCTCTCTAAAATGAAACACATGTTGGATATTACAATATTAACCTCTGTGCTTTGTCTTGATCCTTAACAGTATTGATGTATAATATACAAATTAACTAAAAAGTGAAACAGCACAACCAACTATACAAAAAAAGCACCAATATTTTAAAGTATGAAAAGAAAGTGGATCAGTATTTTAAAGATGTGGTAGCTTTCAACAGTTTTATGTTTTGTACATTACTTTGTGCTGTATATGAGAGCTAAGCCTGAATATATGAAGGATATTGCTGAGAGAAAGTTAACCAGTACATTAAACAGATGAACGTGAGTCCTTTAGCCATTATGTATCTGCCTTTCAGTTGTTTTTGCATGGGATGATCAAATTGCGCAATCACTTTCTTTAGTTAGGCCGAACAGTTTAGTATTTTTCAAAACAATATGGAAGATTACATTTCATCAAGAAGACAATGAAGAAGTAAAACAGCATAATAATTGGATGTATTCCGATAATTAAGTGTACTCTCAGCTTAAATTTAAATATACATGGTGCTTGAATGTTATGTTCACTTGGACGCAAGTGAAAAATAAGAGCCTAGAGGACTGTGAAGACCGTGAATCTTCAAGAATGGTTTGAATATCTTCTCATAGCTAATGTAAATACAACACAAACATGGCCATGATTTCACTTTTTTATTTTAAAAGCCAAACTGTGTGGATGTTCCTGTATTTCAACCTTTTGAGATTGTGTATCAAGTAAAAAAACTCACTAAATGACTCAATGTTTACTTTACAATGCTGAAATACTGAATACTGGTTGTGCCCAATGGAAGCTGTGCTGATGTGTATTACTATGACTACTTTCTCTATTTAGATATATCATAAGCCTGTATCTACTGTATACAAATGTAATTCTTTTCAATTAACAATGCTGAACTTTTGTAAAGATAATCAGTGGAATTACTGTGCCATCAGATTTAAGTGTATGCAAATCATTCACATGATCAGTTATTACGTAGTCCCATTGTTTAGCACAGCTCAAATTGCATTGTATAAAGTTGTTTTGTTGAACAGGCAAACATATACAATAAGTGCTTTTGTACAGTGGACTGTTATGGTGCATTATGTCGTCATGTGTGTAATGTGAGCTTATTGTATGCTATGGTCTGTATGATCTATTAAATATAAAAACGAAATACTAAAACAATCATATTAGTAAACTTCTGAATCTCTTGAGTGTCATATTGAGTTCTGAATATTAATAGCATTCATTTAGGACTATTGCACTGTTTGAAAATGATTTTTAATTATAGTTTAGAAAGCATATCAAGCTTGAGTGAATCTTCTATAAACTAGATCTGTGATGATGATTTCTTAATTATAATGCCTGCACCCCACCTGTATCAGCTAGTTAACTAACTGGCTTATGTTTCACTACTTGACATGTATTTGAGTTTAAACAACTAATATAAGTGATTTATAAAACCAATCACAAGCACGTGTTTGAACAGAACCACATAAGTCTGAATCACATCATGGTACAGTCATTTTTCTTTTAAATGCATACATTTACATTCAATTGGAGATTTATTGATTTTGCTTTAGTTTGAGGGGCTTTTTTCCTGTCCGGCATAGCATTTCCATAGCTAAACATTTGTTATAATGATTATAAATGCATAGTTATATAGGCCTTTTTTAATGCATCCATGCTTTTTTCTTTTACATATTGATAATAACTAAGTTTTTTAGGTTTTTCTAGAGGGCTCAACTTCATTTTTTTATTGATTCAAACGCACAATATGTGTAAAACAAAACAAGAGGGACAGGCAATTAAAAAAGGACTTGAAAACACCTCTCTAATGTATGATGTTGGTGGAAACTGGCTCCAGCTTTGTGCTCGTTCTGGACTGTCTTCCCTGATCCAAGTCAGCACCACCATCATCTGTGAGGACGTCATGACCATCTTTAACCTGCAAGGAAACACAATGTTAAAATACATTTATATGAAAAAGAAGCAACCACATTATGTCTTAAATTAAGTTCTTAACACAGTCTTATAAAGTGTTGCTAAATGTCCCAAGCTGACTGAAGGATGTATGGTGAGCGTATAGGGATATACTTTATTCAAATATGATAAAAAAAACAACTCAGTGTTTTATTTAAGTGTTCATAAGGTTTGTAGAGAACTTGCAGGATTTGTCTTCTTCTATGATGATTGAACAATGAGTGTGTCTGTCTCTGTGTGAACACATGAGCTCATCTCTCTGGGGAGATGAGCTCATCACACAGAAACCTTCAAGTTTCAGCAGCAATTTGTATCACTTAACGAATGATCATTTGTGTTATGTCTTCTAAATAAGGCAACAATCATGTTTTTTTTCTTAGTTTAGATGCTATTATGTTTTATTGGAGCAAAGTGAAATAAGAAAAATGTTGAGATCAAAAAATTGTTTTGTGCCCTTTTCTTTTCACCACTTGACTCTCAGAGAAAATGTTCACACTGGCTGTCTGATGCTCTGCTCCACTGGCAGACTAGCACCAGCACACTGACAATGCACCATGCAACAAAGCACTAGAAGAGCCACCAGCTGCCACTAGTAGGCTAACCCATGTGCACATGTGTTGGCACCTACATAAAACCTCAAAGTGTTCTGATTATATATCTTGAGTTTTATTTTCTCTGCATTATTTTTGTAATACAGGGAGGAAAGAGCGATTTGAGGGGTTGGTATATGACATGGGCTGCATGTACTTGCTTTCCTCATTGCATTCAATACAACATAATAATCAAGGTATTTGTAATAAACCCTAATGGAGGGATATGACTGTGAAGAGGAATACATGAGAATAAACAGTGTCAGGGTATATGGATGCAGCAGACTTTCTTTGTCTGCAGCATTCACAGCTCCTGCTTCCCTCCCCCTCTGCTTCCTTCCTCTGAGCAATGCTTGCTTTTAGCACCATGGACAGCGACCTGCATACTGGAGCTGCGTTGCCATGGCGACGTGCTGTCTTTTCGCTGGAGGTCACGCTGTGCTCTGAAGCTGCGTGTAATTTAATATTCGTACACAGTGCAGCAGCCGCAGCGTGCAGACATCAGATCAGATGCCTATCATTTGGCAAATATCACTACTTCTGCCTATAAAGGGCTGATAATAACAGTATTAGGTGGTTAAAACATAGTCAATTGTAGTATAGATGCAGCTTGGGGGAAACGTAGGAGGCAGAAATGGGACGAGGAGCTCCACAATGCGGCAGCGCTCGTGCACGCGCACGTATATAGTTGGCCTAATTCCAGACCCAATACGTAACCATGCATGTGGGAGGGGTGCGGAGATCATCTTTATTTCTTCTTGTTTTTCTGCATAATGTGACTTTGTATCCTACCTGCAGTTAGTGTGAATGTCATTTTCTATCATGATTTATTGTGCATAATTCCCCGGCACTCCTGCAGCATGGGGCTCACGGCACAATGTCACATGAACCACTGCAGACATACGAGTGGGCTCATCCCAACTGCATGTGCAGGTTTAATCCATGAGATGTCACTGCTCATCCCTTCAATAGTAGAAAGATTGTGGGAGTGTGCTGAGAAGACCTCACTGAGTTTAAACGAGAATATGAATGTCACATTAAACTTTGCTTTATTTTACGGATTCATCGTTTTATAAGAATATATACTTTTCAATTGATTAATTAAATTAATTATTATGATGATGATAATAATCATAATAATAATAATAGTAATAATCATAATCATAACAATAATCATCATAATAATAATAATAACAATAATAATAATAATAATAATAATATTAATAACAATAATAACAATAATAATAATAATAATAATAATAATAATAATAATAATAATAATAATAACAATAATAGTTGGTTTTGAAATAGAGTTCACATTTTACTTACAACTTACAAGTAAGCAATATTTGTTTAAATGTCTACAGATAATGGAACCGGTAATTAGTTTCCTAAAAAATAATAGGATGGAATAGGAGCCCTTGCACTACCATTATGGTGTTAAGATCCTCTGTAAGAAGACCTATGCTTTAACATACACAACAATATCAAAACAGGACATTTTCCACAACTGATGTGATTTTAAAGTTGACTCCTACTTCTCGCGTCTACTGCTTAAATTATGTGGAGAAGCATTTTAGCAAAAGCACACACAGGCTAAACTGGAAGAAAATGTATAACTGCAAGCGGCACAATCGTTAAGGTGACAACGGGTGGTGCTGTTACAACGGGTGGTGCTGGATATGTGGATATCTTTTTGTTTGTCGCTGCTGCTTGTGACTTATTTGGGAGGAATCTCTGCTCAGATACGTTATTCCATCCAGGAAGAATTAAGAATAGGCACCGTGGTTGGACATGTGGCCAAAGACCTTGGATTAGATCTCAGAAGACTGACGGATAGGAATCTTCGGGTCGTGTCTGGAACAAAGCAGGATCTGTTTAAGGTAAATCCAAGGGATGGAGTTTTGTTGCTGAACCAAATAATAGACAGGGAG